CCCCCCCCCCCCCCCTGCAGCCTGGCGGCGCGCGCGCGTTCTCAGGCGCCGGGCGGGTCAAAAATTCAATGCCTGGCAGCGATTTTCCCCACTTGTTTGCCGGAGGCATCCACAGGCGCGCCGACTAATATGCAAAGCGATCATCATTGGGGGACCATTCTTGGGAGGTCACCGGGGGCCGGGGGAGGGTGGCGTGACTCCGGAACACAATTCCCGGGCCACCCGCTGGGTGCGCGCGTTCATGCCACTTTGCCACGGGCGCTGGGGGGGCGTGTGGCAGGCGGGCCCGGCCGGAGGTCACGCATTTCTGAGGGGGCCACTTTGAAATGGGCGCGGCCGGATTCGGGATGTGCTTCAAGTAGGCCGGGCGCGGTGGCCGGATGGGATGAATCTTTTGGTACGGAAGTTTTTCAAATCATATATAGATTAAGTACGCCTTATTCTATCCCAACTGCGCCCGCTAATGGGATCTGGGTCTGTGGTCCAAACCCTAGTCCTTTCGCTCGGGCTCTAGAGAGAGTCCAGTATCTGAGTGGCTATGAATTCCCAATGTCATAGCCATATTTTAACTGGACAACATTCCTTCCTCTTTTCTTTCAATAATCGAATCGCACCGCGCACGCGCGCGCATCATCGCGCCCCCTTTCTTTTGAGCTTTCCCCGCCGTGTGCTGTGTCCGTGTGCGGTCCTGCGCGTGTGTGTTCCTGCGTGCGCACGCACACACACACAGACGTACGTACGCGCGCGTCCGCCGCCGGCAAGAGGGAGAGCCTCTATGATGGGGGGGGGGGGGGGGGGGGGGAGGGGGGAGTGTCTCCTTCTCTTTCCCCTTTTTTCCCCCACCGCCGGCCTCGGCGCGCGTGCGAGGGCGCAGGGCGCGAGCCGGGCCCGGACGCCGGACGATCGCGCGACACGGCCCGCCGCCCGTTGGCACCAGGCGGCGTGCATTGGCACAGCCGAACGCATCGTCATCGTCGGAAAGGGAGGGCCGCGCGAGGCGACCGCCGCGCCGGGCGAGATCGTTTGGCATCGTGGATGCAAGTTGTGCCTGAGCGCGGGGCAGGGGATCTGTGTCTGTTGTGCCTGGAGCGCCTCGCGCGGGACCTTGTCGCCCGGCACGCTGGCACTTGGCTCTCCTACGCAGGAGGGGAGGCGGAGAGGGGGGGGGAGGGGGAGAGGGGGGGGGTGTGTGCATGACGGAGCGTTGCGTGCAGAGGCCATGCGGTTTTTTTTCTCCCGCGAGCAGAGAGGGGTCCTCATCAAACACGCCTCCCCCCTCGTGTCGCCGCTCAGATGTCTTCCCTCTGCCTCTTTCTCTCCCCCTCTCTCTCCCTCATACCCCCGCCCCCCAAGAAAAGAGTCTGCTGCCAGCTTGTGGACTCGCCGCAGGGGGGCCCCTCAGAGCATGTGTGGTAGCGCGCGGCGGGAGAAATGCACCAGGCGTGTGGGTGGTTGGGTGGTTGTTATTTCCACGCCCCGGGGCCGAGGTTGGCAAGTGGCACGCGCACACGCCCCATTCACTGGGCGGCTCTTTCGCGCTCGAACACGTCGAACATCTTGGCACCCAGGTAGGCCTGGGCGCCGGCCACGCCGGGGTTCTCGTAGTCCTGCTTGGCCGCCCGATGCCCCTTGGGCGAGCGGCCGGTGCCGCGACGGCGCATGCGCATGCGCGAGGCCCGGCCACCGGCACTGTCATCGTCATCCGCCGGCTCGAAGGAGCTGCCGTGCTCGGTGAGGATGCGCCGGAAGTGCGGCACCGACAGCATCGGCGGCACTTGGACATTGAAGTCCAGCGCGCACATGACCGCAAATTCAAACTGCCGCACCGATCGAGCCGACACCTCCAGATGCCGGGTGATGGCCTGGCCGAGGCAGGCGCGATGCATGTGTGGTCAGAGGCGCCGCCAAGGGGAGCACAGGAGGGGCGGGCAGGGGGAGAAAGAGGGAGAGCGAGAGAGAGAGAGAGAGAGAAACTGGAGAAAAGGAAAATATCCAAGAGGCGAGACCCCCCCTCCCCTGCGCGCCTCGCTCGGCAGGCGCAGACGCAGACGCACATCGATCAGCGAGATGAGCCACTTGCGCGAGCGCTCGCGAGCATTCTCGGCCAGTTCCTGCGCCTCGCACGCCAGCACCCGGCGGGTTTCCATTTCGTTGGCGTCCGCCTCGCGGGCCGCATCGGACATGGACTTGCTCCCGGGCTTCAGCAGGCCCGGCGCGGCCGGGGTCCGGGAGGATGGCGAGAAATAGTGCGCCGGGGGCAGGGGCGGCGGCGGGGGCGGTGGCAGCAGCCCCGGGCTCAGCCCCGGCAGTTGCAAGCCCATGGGGTCCGCCGCGGCCGAGGTGGTTGTCCCCTCCGGGCCGGGGTGCTGGTGCGCGAGTTGCCGCAGCTCCGCCGCGGAGGGCGGGGCCACGAGCACGGTTTCGCCAGCCGGCAGCAGCGGCGGCGAGGGCGGCGGCAGTGGCGGCGCCGGCGTCGGCGCCGACGCCTGTGGGCCCTGGCGAGCCCCATCCCGCGCGGCCGGCCGATCTACACCCAGTGACAGCCGGCTGGAGCTGCTATTCGGCGAGGGCGGCCGCGAGGGGGGCTGGCTTGGCTCCGGTGGCATGTAGTAGTAGTTGAAGGGCGGCGGCCGAGAGTCGAGGTCGCTGATTTTGGCCGCCAGCAGCAAACACACCCCGGCCACCAGGCGAATGGTGTCCTTGTTCACGCGTTTCTGCATGGCGCCAGGACGGACACACCCAGAAGGGAGCCATGTCAGCGGCCGTGCGCGCGCGCGCGCACACACACACACACAAAGGAGAGGGAGAGAGAGAAAGAGAAAGATAATCCAGGGGAGGACGCCTGGCATGGGCCACCAGAGGTACCTTCAGAATGAGTTTCTCCAGATACACGAAGGCACAGGCGATATCCAACACTTCCATGTCAACCTCCTGTGCTTGCGGTGTGCGCGGCGAGGCGGATACAGATACAGAGGGTCACTATGGCCATGTTGCTCAAGGCGGATGCGTGCTCGTGATTGGCCCTGCCCCACCCGGCGTAGAGGACAAGCACGCACCTTTCCCACAGTCACCATGCGGTCCTTGGTTTGGCGGATGAGATCCAAGGTAACATCGGCCGGGAGGCCGGGATTGTGAAGGCGGAACTGCTCATTCAGTTCGTTGACCAAGTCCACCGACTTGACATGTGGGATTGTGGAGAACTGGGCTCGCATGTGCCCATGTGTGTGTGTGTGTGTGTGTGCGTGTGTGCGTTAGCATATTGTTCCCGGCAAGAGGGAGGTGTCTTCTTTCAGGGGCGTGGTGCCTGGAGCGCACCATCATAAAGGGCAGCGACTGTACGGTCTTGAAGCGCCCACGACGAAGTTGTGGATTGTCCAGGGTGAGGGGAGTGTAGTTCCGGTCGACATAGTCCGATGCGGCGTCCGGGGCGAAAAGGTAGTCATAGGTTTGCACAGGAGTCTTCTGAAGGGGGATGTAGTTGGTTTTCCTGGCGCCATGCGAGGAAATGTCAGACAGTGTAAGGTGGCATGCATGGACTCATGGGCAGGCGTGCACAAGACGCCATGCGGCAGGAAGGGAAGAGGCAGAGGAAGGACGAGAATGGCAGACAGAGAGAGAGGGAGAGGGAGGGACGCACTGCTTGCGTGACTGGTGCCCGGACGCCCCAAAGGGGATGGTGGAAAAGCCGCCGATCAGCGAGCCGGCAGGTGACTGAAGCAGGACAGGCCCGAGGCCCGGGGAGGGGGGGGGTCAAAAAAGGGAGACCCAAGAGAAGCTCCAGGGACCGGAAAAAGAAAGAGACAGGGAGGGAGAGAGAGCCAAATGGCGTGTTCGACAGCCATGGCGTGACATGTGGATGCCCCTGGCAGGGAGAGGGGGGGGGGGGGGGGGGGGGGGGAGAATACACGCACCATGGACTTGGCCACGAGACTGAAACGAAGAACCGCATCGGCATCGGCATACGCATCCTCGTCGGCACCCCGCGGGTGACTGAGGGACGCTGGCAGAACTGCCGTCAGGTTGTCGATGTACACATATCGAGAGGGAGCTATCGGGGAGGGGAGCCTCGCCACCAACCGGGGCGGGAGGGGGCTGTTAGAGCGCGGAGCAGCCGCCAGATGCACGGGCCATGTATGCTAAAAAGGAAAGAGAGAAGGGGAGGGCATAGATCGAGCTGGGGGGCAAGTCGGCGCGACGGCGCACCAGGAGGGGGACTGGCAATGATGGCCGGCGGATCCGGGGCCGGCGTGGTATCGGCCACGGCCGGAGCAGACACCGGGGCAGGGACCAGGGCAGCTGTGGCCGGGGCGGCCAAGGGCAAGGGCTCCGGAGGGGGATCCGGTGCACGCCGGGCATCTGGCACCGGGTCCGGCGAGGCGCGCCCGCCGCCGGGCCGGGGGAAGCCCCCAGGCGGCGAGGGAGTGGGCGACCGTGACCGGGAGGAGTATTCATCGGAGTAGATGCCAGGCTCATAGCCAGTGGGCGCGTCGCTGAGGAAGCTGAGCGAGCTGAAGGACCCCACTTGGCGACGATGATCGCGCAGAGAGAAGTACACTCCGCCTGGGGAGATGGCCGACAGGGAGGCGCGCCCCCGGACGGCCGGCTTGTAGAAGCGATTCGTGGCACGCGTCGATACGAAGGACTCGTCGTCCGACAGCTCGAAGAACTCCTCCTCCTCCTCCTCCTCGTCCTCGTCCTCCTCTTCCGCGGCCGGGTCATCGGACCAGGGGAGGGTATACTCGTCGTCGCTGGAGTAATGCGGCCGGGAGCCGGGGAAATCCGACGCGGCCAGGGGCGGGATTGCGGAGCGACTTGGCTCGAATTGGATGCCAGACAGGAAGGAACGCGCGGTGGTGCGCGTATCGGTGGGGCGGGGTTGCGGTTGTCGCCGCTGCGCTGGTGCTGCGGCGGCGGCGGCGGCTGCTGCTGACGGCGGCGACTGGAGGGCGGCACCCGGTGGGAGGGGACGCCGCGGCCGCCGCGCATGGCTATCCGGCCAGGCGTTGCCTGTCCGGCGGCCGTGGACACCCTCGGGCCCGCTGTCGGGCGACCTGCTGTGGCCATCGTCGCTGGAGCCACCATCATCGTCGTGGTGGTCGTTGCTCCTGGTCAGCCCCGGCGAGGGGGATCGTGTGTGGCGGCTGGTTGACCGACGGGATTCCAGCCGGCCGGCAGATACGTCGGCCACATCGCCCGGGCGCGCATCCCGTTCAAGACGGATCCCGGCCAGAAACGACTGCCCGGTGGACTTGCCACCGGCCGGGGGGCGCGACATTGGGCGTGTATCGCAATCGGAAGGCGGGACTGCGAGGCTGGGGCAGCGCGAGGGGAGAGCCGGCGGAAGGGGGACCGGGGAGAGGGGGCACAGGGGAAAGGGGCGGACAAGGGTGCTTGTGTCTAGGTGGTGGAGGGTGCATGTGTGTGTATGTGGGGGGGGGGGGGGGGGGGCTCGGGTCGTCCCCCGGGAGGCGGCGTACTCGCACATGTGCAAGCATGCCTTCCCTGCCCGAGGGAGGGAGGGAGGGAGGGAGCGTGTGCTCTGAGTAGGGGTCGTGCGGGGGCGGGGCTGGGCGGGGCGGCTCGGCGCGGTGCGCGCGGGGGCGGGGGAGCGACGGGCCCGATCGGCCGGCGAACGACACACGGGCGAGCCGCAATCTGCCGGCGAAAGGCCGCGCGATCGCGGCCGGCCCCGCCGGTCGGTAGGCACCTCATCTGGAGGGCTGTTTCGGGGGCACCGGCGTTGGGACTTGCGCTCTTCTCCCTAGGGTCCGGACCTCTCGTAGACCATGGGGGATGCGAGCCGTGAAACGGCGGCCGCACGCCGGAGCGGCCCGACCACCGTCTGCAAGCCGCCCCTGCAGGGGGGGGGGGGGGGGCCGAGCAAATTGCCTTGGTCCGCGCCTGCACCCGCTATACCCACCACCAGGCCGGGAGCCGTGCATGCTCGGCGAGAGGTGGCAATCTGACCCGACGCGCACACCGCGCGTGGGAGCGCGCGGTCCCTTCCCCCCGCCCCCCCTCCTCCTCTCTCTCTCTCTCTCTCTCTCTCTCTCTCTCTCTCTCTCTCTCTCAGGGAGGCGAGGGACGAGGGGAGACCGCGCGACGGGGTGAATACCGTGCCCGACGAAAAGAGTGGTCGCGTGGAGAGGCCGATCGAACGCCCGAACATCCCACTCCACTCCCCTTCCTGCCCCTCCCTTTTGCCCGTGCTTTGTTTGCTGCCCTTCTCCTCGCCCTGGCGCCCCCCTCCCCCGCCCCCCCTCCCCTCTCCCCGCCCTGCCTATCTGCTCATTCGATCGCTCGCTCGCGTTCCCTCCCCGGCGCCGCCCGCCCTCCTGTGTCAATCCAACGGTCGCGCCGAGTGAGCACCGGCACTGGTGACACCTGAACCGACCGCCGCTGGCGCTTCGTGCGTGTGCGCCTGCGCGTGTCCGCACACACACACACACACACAGCCGGCTTTCTGCCGCTCGTGAGCCGCCCGCCAGGCCGGCCGCCGCATCATCTGCCCCGGGAGCGCTATGGCCGACGCGCCGTCATTCATACAGTGGCAGGTCTTTCCGGAGGACAATAGCAGCACCGGACCTGGCCGGGTGAAGGGACACTCTGTGAATGTCTTTCGGAATCATCTCATTGTTTTTGGTGGCCTGTCCGCGGACATCCCCCACCCGCAGGCCACCCGGCGTTTGTGTCTGCTGGACCTGAGTGCGCCACAGTCTTCTCGGCCCGCCCCCCCCCCCCCCCCACCCCCCCCCTGCTCGCTCGTTTTTTTCCCCCCGTATCTCCCTGCCTCTCTCCCTCGCTTGTGCATGCGCATGGATGTTGTCTCTGCCTTGTTTGTGTGGCTCGCCAGCGTACTGACCCCGCCGGGGCGGATAAGACACCAAGAAGTGGCACCGGATCATTTACATCGAGGATGGCGACGTGGACGTGTCCAGCTGGTCGTCCACCCTGGCCGAAGTGACCAACGCCGCCTTCCAGCCGAAGAGCGCCGCACACCCGGACGGGCAGAATGCCAAGTCCCTGGTGTTGAAGTCCATTTCCGAGCTGAACAGCGTTGTCCGGCAGCTGTCCATCTCCTCCGAGGGGACGACCAAGCGCGCGGCCGGGGCAGCGCCGCTGGCCGAGACGCCACGTCCGCCGGGGACCGCGATCCTGCCGGGCCCGGGCGGCCGCGGGGGTTCCTCGGCGGCTGCCCATCTGCTCGGGGTCCCCCGGCCGGCCAATGCCCCGGGGATCCATTTGCCGGACTCGGAGGCGGATTTGCCTGGGGTCGTTGGCGAGCCTGGCGGCCGGCGATCGGTCCCAGCCTCGCCGCCCCCTCCGGCCGGTACTTCCAACCCGGCGCTCATCTCGGTGTCCTACAGTGCGGAGCAGATCAGCGCGCGCTTTGGCCACGCGGCCACCTTCGACGGGACGGAGGACATCTCGGACGATGGGCAGATCCGTTGGCCGCGGCTCTTTGTCTTTGGCGGCATCAGTGCCTCGGGCACGGTGCTGGGGGACTTTTGGTGCTTTGATTTCGGTGCGTCGCGGGGCCTCTTCGCCGTCGGGGGTGTTCTCGCCCTCGCCCTCGCCCTCGCCCTGGTTCGCTCTCTCTCTCGCTCTCTCTCTCTCGCTCTCTCTCTCTCTCCTGCCATGGGGTGTTCTTCGGTTGCCTCCTCGCCATGAGGGCGTTTCTTGGGTTTCTGACACGCGCGAGCCTGCCCTTCCCGGGTGCGTGCCCCATGCACCATGGGCAGCCGAGTGCCGGTGGTTCCCCATCATCTCGGATGCCTCGCCTGATGCCCGGCCGTCACCGCGCTTTGGGCATGTGCTCTTCTACCATGACCATGCGCTGTATCTGCATGGCGGCACGCCGGACGGCGTGCGGGCCTTCAGTGACATGTGGCGGTACAGCATCGTCGCCCGGCGGTGGGAATGCATCCTCGACGCCCGGGAGGCGCCGGAGGACTGGCACCTGGCGCGGTATTTCCACACGGCCACCGTCGTGGGCCGGGAGTTTTTCATCTTCGGTGGGCTTCGATCTTCGGCCGGGACGCCGGCCAGGCTCGAGCCGGCCCCGGCAGGACTGACAGCCACTCCCGGCTACCATGCGCTCAGTTGGTCGGACCCGGTGGCCGTCGCCCGGGGCGCGGCCGCCACACCGGCCGCACCTCCCTCCTCCTCCTCCTCCTCCTCGACGTCATCGTCGTCATCGATAGCCGAGCCGCCGACCGCCGGAATGGGTCTCTTGAAGCCGGCTGAGCGGGCCACCGGCCGGGCGGCTGGCCATCACCCCGCCGCTGGCGGTGGTCATGGTGCTGGTGCGTGGGGCCCTGTCGGTGCGCTTCCTCGCCCTTGCCCTTCCTCTTTCCGCCTCGCCCCGCCCTCGGCCTGGCCTTTTGACGAATCACTGACCGCGCTTCGCCGATGCCGGCCGTGGTACACGGTGCTTCTGTCCCGGCAGGTGAGTCTCGGCCGGCAGCCCCAGCGACTGCCCCGCGCACCAGGCCCATCCCTTCGGCTCTGCGACGCTTCCGGGCACCCGGCTGGACAGGCCAGGACGGCGGCACGGCGGCCGCGGCACCGGAGCCGGGCCAGCCGCCGGCCGCACAATCGCCCGCGGCCGACACACCGGCAGCGGCCGGGGCGCGCGGTGGCCGGCCACAATCGGCCGTCTTCCCGCGGGCCGGCCTCTCGCCGGCCGCCTCGCTGGATTACCTGAATGGCGGCATGTCGCCCGGGGGCTCGCCAGCGGCAGGGGCCCCTGGAATCCCGGGGACCAACCACCCGCCGGTCTCGGCAACTGGCGGGGCTGGCGGGGCTGGCGGGCCGGCGGCCGACTCCTCCGGCGTGGGTGCCTCGGCGGACTTGCTCTTTTCGGACTTCGACTTCTCGCTGTCCCCTTACTCGCAGAGCTCGGCCAATCCGCTGTTCGTGAAGAACCCGCTGTTCGAGCTGGATGAGGCCGGGCCACTGGGGCCCGGGGCCGGGGCCGAGCTGGCCGGGGCATCCCTGGCACCGACCTTCCCCCCGGGCATGACCCCCGAGCACATGGGGGAAACCCTGCGGCAGTTGTCTCTGGCGGACATGTGCCGCTTCAAGCTGGACAATCTGTCCTGGAGTAAGCCCATCCTGACGCCGCTGCTGTCGCGCACCACGGCCCCGCAAAATGAGACGCACTTCCCGTCGATGTACTCGCTGCCACAGATGCCGGCGCAGTTCCGTCACTCGGCCATTCCCCTGGGCGAGGAGTATGTGCTGCTGTTCGGAGCCGAGCCGCTGGCAGCCGGCCCCCTGGGCGGGGCGTCCCCCGGTCCCGGAAGCGAGGGCCGGCCCTCGCATGACATCTGCCGGATCGACATTTTCAGCGTCCGCGCCAACCGGTACTTTTCGATCAGTGTCCTGCCGCCGATGAAGCAGGACACGGAGTTCCCGCTGTACGTGTCCCTTCCCCCGCCCTCCCCCGCCCTTCCCTTTTCCTTCTCCCCCTGCTCTCCCCCCTGTCGGGCCTCCTGCTCGGGGACATGGGGTCGTGTTGCTCTGGTGCCGGGTCCTCCTGACAGATGGTCCTCCCTGCCGCGCGGTCTCCCCCCCCCCCCCCCCCCCCCCCCCCCCCCCC